CTGAGCCCATGGGTTCAAGACCAGCCTGGGCAACTTGACAAGACCTCATCTCTACAATAAGCCAAAAAATTAGCTGGGCATGGTGGTGTGTGCCTGTAGCTCCAGCTACTTGGAAGGCTGAGGTGGAATGATTTTCTGAACCCAGCAGGTAGAGGCTATGGTGGCTGTGAGCATGCCACTGCACTCCAGCCTTGGCAACAGAGTGAGACTCCAACTCAAAACAAACAAATAAACAAAACAAACAAACAAAAAGATCCAAGATAATAAATACCTTCCGCAGGCTTGGTGGCTCAGCTTGTAATCCCGCGCCTTTGGGAGGCTGAGGTGAGTGGATTGCCTGAGCCCGCGGGTTCGAGACCCACCTGGGCAGCGAGACCTCATCTCTACAATAAAAATTAAAAAATCAGCCGGGCATGGTAGCGCACACCTGTAATTCCGGCTACTCGGAAGGCTGAGGCAGAAGGATCGCCGGAGCCCAGCAGGTCGAGGCTGCGGTGGCCGGGAGCGGCCACTGCACTCCAGTCTGGGCGACAGAGTGAGACTCCAAATCAAAAAAAATAAAAATAAAGATAAAAATAAATAAATAAATAAATACCTTAAAGTTATTGTGATATGTTACATCAAAGATTATAAATGTTTATAAGCCTGCTATGTCTATTTTAGCATGTTTGTGCATGTCATCAACATAAATGCACGTTTTTCCATCTGAATTAAAAAGAGTTAATAAGCATAACCAGGATAAAGTATGGTCAACATAGTACAGTGTGTTGTAAGTATCTCAACACTTTGAAACAGAAGTAAACTTATTAAAGTCAAACGCGTAGCAGGGAGAGTCCATTTCCTAGCCCGTCCCTCTGCAAGCAATTCTCTCAGCAATAGTGAGGACAATAGTTTTTGAGCCAGGCATGGTGGCTCACGCCTATAAACACAGCACTTTGGGAGGCAGAGGCAAGAGGATTCCTTGAGCCCACAGGTTCAAGACCATCTTGGACAATATGGAGAGACCTAGTCTCTACAAAAAAATCAAAAAATTAGCCAGACGTGGTGGTGTACACTGGTAGTTCCAGCAACTTGGAAGGTCGCAGTGGAAGGATCACCTGAGTCCAGCAGGTTGAGGCTGTGGTGGCCATGAGCCTGCCACTGCACTCCAGCCTGGGTGACACAGTAATATTCCGACTCAAAAAAAAAATTTTTTTTTTGGATATGTCAGTCCTGCTGACACTTGCCCTCCTTAATAAGATGGGGTAGATGGTTGACTCGGAAGTCCTGCTTTTCTCTAGAGAGGTGGACATCGGGAAATAAACAGCACGAAACAAGAACTGAACATTCTTCATCAAGAAACAAGGGAAGAGCCGGGCTCGGTGGCTCAGCCTGTAATCCCGCACCTTTGGGAGGCTGAGGTGAGCGGATTGCCTGAGCCCGCGGGTTCGAGACCCGCCTGGGCAGCAAGACCTCATCTCTACAATAAATCAAAAAATCAGCTGGACATGGTAGCGCATGCCTGTAATTCCGGCTACTTGGAAGGCTGAGGCGGAAGGATCGCCGGAGCCCAGCAGGTCGAGGGTGAGGTGGCCGGGAGCGGCCACTGCACTCCAGTCTGGGCGACAGAGTGAGACTCCAACTCAAAAAAAAAAAAAAGAAACAAGGGAAAGGACATGATGCTGGATGTAGAGGACACAGGCCATAATATGTCCACACTGTGTTGGCATGCCAGTCCGCGGTGGGGTCACGCCCCTCTCACCCAGAATTCTTTTTCACAGTTGAGCTAGATGAGACTCTGAGAAGCTAAGCAGACTGGTGTGTGGCTGAAAGGGTTTGAACTTGGGTTTCCTGGTGCCAGGAGGGTTGCAAGCAGCCGGGAGATTCTTGGTAACGACAGTCAAATTCAAAATACAAAACCGGAAAAGCGTCTTTGGTAAACGAATGTTTCTTTTGGTGAAAGCCTCAGACTCAACCACAGAAATATTTATTGCCTCAAAAAGATGTGGCCAGGCGCGGTGGCTCACACCTATAATCCCATCACTCTGGGAGCCCGAGATGAGAGGATTGTCTGAGCCCACAGGTTCGAGACCAGCCTGGGCAACTTGGCCAGACCTCATCTCTACAATAAATCAAAAAATTAGCCAGACATGGTGGCGCGTGCCTGTAGTTCCAGCCACTTGGAAGGCTGAGGCAGAAGGATCGCCTGAGCCTAGCAGGTTGAGACTGCAGTGTCTAGGAGTGTGGCACTGTACTCTAGCCTGGGTGACGGAGTGAGACTTCAACTTAAAAAAAAAAAGATGTTGTGACGAGGCTGGGTGTGGTGGCTCAGGCCTGTAATTCTAGCACTTTGGGAGATGAGGCGAGAGGATTGCTTGAGGCCAGGAGTTTGAGACCAGGCTGGGAAA